TATATATATATATATATATATATATATATATATATATATAGGCAAAGAAAGGGGTGAGAAAGAGAAGAGCGATTGAAAAGGAGAGAAAGACACAGAGAGAAACATAGCGGGGAGAGATAGCCTGTAACTAGGGTGAGCCAGAAGGGTGGGAGTGAAATTGGTGAGTGGAAACGAGGACATAGTTGTCGTACAGAGGAGAGCTGGCGTGACAAACTAGCACAGGATGAGCAGCCCGACCACGCACGCATCGGCTGCGTCAGGTCATCCACCTATTTGCCTTATTACATCAATCGATGGTACTAAGCCATTTGAGCAGCCGTGCTCGTGTAATCTGAATGTGTAGCGACGATAGATGGCAATTATACAAGAGTCAACTAGAAGTGGGCGGGAAGGCATCGAAGGGAATCGATGAGCTCGGCTTTAACCCGGTGCTCGGAGCGAGTGCTCCACACGACCGATATGTTTCCAGAGAGGGAGGATGCCAGGTCGCACTGACAGCATGCGTCTGACAGCGATGACTGAAACCTCGACCAAACCTCCGGCGATCAGGCACGCACACGCATGCATGAGTATATATCTATATATATATATATATATATATATATATCATGAGTGGGTGACTGACATTTCCGTATTGACTACGTGCAAAGTATTTGTATTAAAAAGCGGCATCTTTGGCAGGCGCTTGTAAACGAAACGCGAAGGTTTAACAGCAAAGTACGATGGAGAATCTCGCTGCCCCGTAGAAATATGAATTCTATTATATTCTCTATATATTTCTATGCTCGCTACACCTCATTTCAGCGCTACCCATTTAGGTATCTTCTTAATTGAAACGCTAAACAACATGTAAATATATTAAAAATGAAATTATTAATTAAATTCATATTATTGTTGTTGTTGTTGTTGTTGTTGTTGTTGTTGTTGTTGTTGTTACTGTATAAACAAGACACATTGGGTAGGCGAGTGCGATCGATACAGAATTACAAAGAAAGAGGGCGAGAGAACACACGCAAGAGAGGGAGAGAAAGAGAGAGATATCGATAGAGTTATAGAGAGAGAGAAAGAGAGAGATATCGATAGAGTTATAGACAGAAAGAAAAAGAGAGAAAGAGAGAGAGAGAGAGAGAGAGAAGGAGAGAGACACACAGAGAGATATCGATAGAGTTATAGACAGAAAGAAAAAGAGAGAGAGAGAAAGAGAGAGAGAGAGAAAAAGAGAGAGAAAGAGAGAGGTCGGGATAGAGATAGAAAGATGGACCGAGATAGAGGGGGAGAGGGGGGGGGGTTCCTAGAGAAGTGAAGACGCATTTACCGCCCGCCCACCCCGCACCGACTATTTCCCAGCCATGGCCTATGTATGTCCCAGCTGCTGCTAGGCAGCAACAGCAGACGTAGTTAAACAGCACCGTCGCTCGGGTTTGTATGCACAATCACGCAGGTGCAGCCAAGGTATAACAGCCATGGTCGATTGCATTGATTTTCTTTTGCTTACACCGTTGCCACGGCAACCAAGGAGAGACGCAACCGGTTTTGTGGAATATCTTATTGAAATAGCGTCGCAGCGCTTTGAAGGAACCGGTAAAAGGGCAATGCTGGAAAAAGTATCAAATAGTAGAAAAGACATTATGGTCCTGTTAGGCATGACTCAAGTACAATTTCATGCAAATCGCTTCAAAACTTATAAAACGACCTCTTTCCGCGAGTTTACCTAAATAATTCTTACGGTTTTAACGCGCGGCTATCGATTATTAAGGTGAAGCGCTCGCACACCAAACAGGACAGCCTTTATCCGTCCTCTATATAAAATTGAAATTCACATGTGTTTTTTAAAGCTTAGTAAGTAGTTAGTTAGTTTTAACGTAAGTAAAATGCCCTGCATTTTTTGCACATAACAAGACACCAATAGAGCAAGAGCACACAAACTGTCTATAGCACATAATTAAAGAACGTACACAAATGTATGCGGCCTTTGATATAACTAGAGCACATAGAATGGAGCACAATAGCAACCGAAGCCCTAGAGCGCGTAATTTGATTATGTGATCATGATCATAGCGATAGAAAACAATAAAAATAATTGCTATTATCTCTGACACAAACTGTGATTAAAATTCTTCGAATCGTTTTCGACGTGACACACAAGGCAAACTACAGACAACAAATTCCACGACAATTAGGGAGTATTATTTATTGTGAAATCAAGGAAAGCAACATTTGCCTTCACGCGCTACGCCTACTTACTTGGTTCTATAAGTCAATTGACGTAAAATAACATTGACATTGGCGCCTACCTTATTATTATTATTATTATTATTAAATCTTTGTTGCATGTAATTCAAATACAAATACATGTACTGAAGACAGTTTTTTCATGGAGAAAAAAATCTGATAAATGCAATAGTGTTGAGCGGATTACATTACATGATTACATTAGTACATTTACCACAAGATTGTTGTTCACATCTAACTCTCTCAGCGATAGTCGAATGAACGTGTTGCTGACGATTTACACCATAAAGCATTCACAATCCAACAAGTTTTAGTTAGCTCAACTAATAATTCATGTCCTTGAGCAGGGCGGTGGAAAAATAATCTCGCTTTTTTCTGATCAAGACCACCTCAATGTCCAAAATATTACATTTTACCCTTGCTGTATTACCGCGTTTTTGAAACATCAGTCTCCCTCATTAATGACTAGTACAACCGTTGAAAACCTAGACACTAAGTTCCAGGAAAACGTATTCGTATCGGACGTAACGGAGGGTTCTAGACAATCACCATCGATTCACGTGTTGCGAGAGGCGTGCACAGATTGCCATGGCAACTGAAGTTACGAATGTGCATTTTCTAGTCACAACTTCATATATGGAAACCTACTTTGCATGGATTAAAATCAGCATTATAGCGCCTGCACGCACGTGCTGACGCAGTGACTGTGCTGATAATACGCGATTCGTTCGTTACCTGTTATATTTATTTACGCTTAAACGTCTTATTACGCTTACTACGTCCCGTTCAAACTTCGCTTGTGCCTGCCAGTGAATGATCTGTGATGGCCGATACGTTTTTGCGTTAAAATAGATAATGCTACGTTGTCATAGCAACTAGGCTTAACGGACAGGGCGATCCACGTTTTTTCTATGAATTGTTGGGATGGGTACGGTAACTGAAAATTACCGTGTCACACATTGCTTTTAAATAGGCTTTGACAAAACAAGGATTTATGCATTGATTATTGATAAAGCTAAACACTGCATCTGGGTCTCGCCTGCCGAGGGTACCAGTCTTATCTGCAGCCTGCCCTTGTACGGCGTATATAAGCGTGCGCGCCGATACATCTCTGCAAACAAGAACGCGAATCTCGCAAGCGACAGGAGGACAATAATCGCATTTACATATATCTATATTAATCTGTTTATTTTCCACGTAAGCTCGATACGTAGCTCGCTGAAAAATACGAGCAAGATTTCTTCTTGGCCTTTGTCGGCATAACGAAGTTATGCAAATTGTTATACGTGCACGCAGTCATCGACAATGTACATTTAAGGTCAGCGTTCAAAGCAACCACGCGATCACACAACAGATAAGATGAAAAAATTGGCAGATGGTCGAACCGCAGAACTATTTACGAAAAATCGGGAACGTCACGCAAGCGACGGCAGACGAGCAGATTAGCATCTGCCGCGATCATAGACTGTAAGAGGCAGCTTGCACGCTGTCTGCTCTTCACACAATTAAAACATGAAAGCATCAGATTATACTGTCACAGCACGATTGAAAACGACACGACAAGTGCGTACATGAACGTAAAAGTCACGTTGCAGCACATTTATCCGTCATATGTGCGACCAGATGAGCTAAATTCCCAGAGCACTATAAGAGATTTATATGAACAAACACCGTGCACGCATAATCTATCACACCTTCACACACTTTTCGAATCCTTAGATTTTTAATTCGTTGGGCGACACTAGATTATCATAATATACCGTGGTTATTCTATAAGTTAACAAGTTAACAAATTATATAGCAACCTTAACATTAATTTACAAAAGTAATACATTTTTGGTCCAATTCCTGTATCACATGCAGGATTGATTTCCCAGTTGATCACAGCAGTCAATCATCACATCGCAGGAGGCAGTGACGTAATGTGAGGTAAGGTAATACCATACTCTCAGTTAGCACCATTAAAACAACAAATAAAAAAAAATAATTCCACCACATCATCCAGCCCATACACAAGGTGCTGAGGTAAGGGCTTTAGATCAAACTATTTGCTAAGAAAGCCAACTTATATTCCCCTAGCCGGGCCTAGTGGCTGACTTTACCTTTACATCGTTTTTTTCTTTTCACTCTAGCACATTATATTTTCCTTCTATTATGTGTTTAATACTTTGTATTGGAACTGTACTGTGCTGTACACAGAGTCATGATATAAAGTTTCTGGGTATGGGAATACCTTCGAAATTTTTCTGTTCAATATAAATTCATTACATTAGAAATTTGTGTAGTTTTAGTTGTGGAATCTAACAAGGTGCACATCAACAATCATGACTCGTTCAGCAAGTACCTTATTGCACTCAATGTCCACTCATACACGAGGAACGTCACTGCGTTCACTGGGAACGCGCGAACAGCACACACTAGAGAACCACGGAACAGTGCACGGACTCCGTCCTGCTTGCACGTGTCGGAAAAGCAGTGCAACACGCCGCGGTACTGCGGCTTATCTATTCTATCTGCCTGGAGACGGCTTTTGATGGCATCCAGAGGCATGATGATGATCCACGACACACTGCCTGCGCTTCCACCTGCGAGCATCGTCGACATCGAGCTCACGGAGCCATTTTTGTCCTCCAGCTGCTTACTAAGGAACTCGTATACAAGAATGTATAGGCCAAACGAGGGTAGGTCCCTCACGAACTGAATTCCCAAACCTGTGTCAAGACAATCATGAGTATAAGGTAGTTACAAGTTATTGTTACACAAGGATGATATTATTTATATGCAATTACGTAAGGTTGACAATTGGTTCTCTGGATGTTTAGCACTCGAATTAAAATTCGTCTAGGCACAGGGGTTGAATAGTGCAACGTTCCATCAGAACAAACCGATTTTACTTTCAAACTTCCACTGAGGCACAGCGTGAAATATGTGTTACCTTGGTTTAATATGCATCACCACACTAGCGATAGTGGAGCCACCACACGAACACATTTATAAACAAAGACTTCTTGTGGTAAAAGCACAGAATAATGAATACGAACGTATTCGTTAATTAGTCTGTGGTAAAAGCTTCTATACTTGACGCGTCAATGAATGATATCGTAGTGTATATAATTAAAAGCTCTACAGAGGAAAATAAATGAGACTAAAAAATCATGTGTAATGTACTGGTCTAATGGTAATTAACGGTAGTAATGGTGCATTTTAATGGTAATTAGACATTAATTGGTGCCAGTTCATAGTGCATGTGGTGGGGTAATGGTTCAGAGGCAGATGAGTCAGATCAAAAAGAGGCCAGTATACCACCTCATTAGTTTAGTACACATGCACAGACTCCCTGTGGGGACTAAGATATTGTATATTAATTTTGTGCAGCTATACTCAACAACTACCTCCGATCTACAAGACTCATCTAAGAGCTGATAGTCTACTTGTGCTGCTACTGCTACTGTTGCTGATAGGGTGGGTCTATGTCTCTCTGGGTACTGCCGGAACGTACCCTGGTAACTATCTGATATGGTTAGAGTTAGAGTTAGGGTTAGGGTTAGGGTTAGGGAGTATGCGTAGGCGACTCCCTAGACTCGTTAGTGGAGTAGGCGAGGTACGGTCCGGCATATTAGATAGTACCAGGGTACGTTCCGGTTTACCGGACCATGCCCAGGGTACGTTCCGGCAGTACCCAGGGAGACATAGACCCTGGCAGCGCTACTGTTGCTGCTGTTGGTTATACTCGCCCCAATAGATATTGCAACAAATGTAAACGTATGTTGTTAAGGAAAGACTTTGGCTAAGAAAACACCAACAACATGCAATTTGATGGTGAACTTTGGCATAATTAAATTATGCTTTGAAAATTGACAATTTCCTATGAGTTCGGAGACGTACATCAGCAGCCAGCTCGTATTTATAACATGAAATTACTTCAATAACTTTTTCCTTAGAGAGGTAAAATTTAAGGTATTTGTCAATTTAGAACTTCGATGTTAAAACTAAACATTGAGGCATTTACATTCATACATGAACACATCTTCCATTATAGCTACATAAACAAATTGCCTTTTTGAAAAGCCAAGTTATTAGTATCATTTACTTGCAGGTCATTAAATATTTCCCCCTCATGTCCGTAAAAACTCAATTCAAAGTTCTCTTTAATAATGTATTGAAAGCTCAACAAAAATTTTCACGCTACAAGTAAAACCAGTAGCACGTTCATATCCTGGCTATCCAACCCTGACTCCCAGTTTTGACCTGTCATGTATTTTCAACTCGCTAATTGGCAAATCTCAACACTGAAATTAAAGAGTGTTTCATGTTTATAAACATTAACGTCGTATGCGCACATGCGCAGTTTAACGGTTGGCAGCAAGCAGATGCGTGATATTGTTCGATACAAGCACACGCACGCACGCACACACGCACGCACGCACGTCTACGTGCACATGCATGCACGCACGCACGCACGTGTACCTACACACACACGCACGTACGCACGCACGCACACATGCACACATGTGTACCTGCACACGCACGCACGCACGCACACACGCACGCACGTGTACGTGCACACACACGGACGCACGCAGGCATGCACGCACGTGTAAGTTCACACGCACGCACGCGCGCACGTGTACGTACACACGCACGCACGCACGCACGCACGTGTACGTGCACACGCACGCACAAACTCATGCACGCACGTGTACGTGCACACGCTCGCACGCACGATTGCACGCACGTGTACGTGCACACGCACGCACGCACGCACGCACGCACGCACGTCTACGTGCACATGCACGCACAAACTCATGCACGCACGTGTACGTGCACACGCTCGCACGCACGATTGCACGCACGTGTACGTGCACACGCACGCACGCACGCACGCACGCACGTCTACGTGCACATGCACAAACGCACACACGCACGCACGCACGTGTACGTGCACACACACGGACGCACGCACGTGTACGTGCACACGCACGCACACACTCATGCACGCACGTGTACGTGCACACGCTCGCACGCACGCCGACGCACGCATGTCGTCGTGCAATATGCAGGTACTGCACGCGCGCACGTGTACATCCAAACGCAACGCACGCACGCGCGCATGCCACAACACGTGTACCTGCAACACGCCACGCACGGGACGCAATGCACGCAGCGATGTACGTGCACACGCACGCACGCACGTATATGTGCATAACGCACGCCGCACGCACGTGTAGTGCACACGCACCCACTCACGTGCACCTGACACGCACGCACTGTGTACGTGAACACGCAGCGCATCACACACGCACGGCAGGCACGCACCTGTACGTTTCACACGCACCGCAGCACGCGCGCATGCTAGCGCACGTGTGAGTGCCACAGCGCACGCACGCACGAACGGCACGTGTACGTAGCACACGCCAACGCACGGCAACGCACGCACGTGTACTTGGCATACGCACGCACGCACGCACGCGCGGCACGTGTACGTGCAGCAGCAACAATTGCACGCACAGTGTACGCACGCATGCACGCACGCACGCATCACGCACCCACGCCATACGTGCATTACGCACACACGCACGCCACGTGTACGTGGCACACGCACGCACGCCGCACGTGTACGTGCACACAAACGCCAACACGCACGACTCACCGCACGTGTAGCGTGCACACGCAGCGTACGTGTACGTGCCCACGCACGCACGCACGCACACCACGCCACGGCATGCACGCACGCACGCTACGCACGCCAGTACGCACGCACGCACGCACGCAGTACGCCACGTGTACGTGCACTAATATAAACAGCGCTTTCCATCAGAACATGTGGTCAATCCATCCTGTAAATGTCAAGCAGCACGCTTCGCTTCTGCCAACCATGACACATAACAAATACACGCTGACCGTGATCTATGACGTCACATGCAAACACTCCTATTGTTGATGCATGCATACAGCTACACTATATATTATTATAATGGTAGCGCATTTTGCTTGAATCTGATTGGCCCATATGTGCATTTGGAGGTCCGAGCTACCTCATACCGAGTTGACGCGCCATGTCAAACGAGGTACACCTCGCGTGAAGAAAGTGGGTGCTGTTGAGCGCTGGCAATCGAGGCTACCGCTTTCTATATCGAAGATTAGCAGCCAATCAGATAGCTATATTATAAAATAATATAAATAATATAAATATTATAAATATAAATATAAATATAATAAAATAAATAATTTAGAAGATAAATATAAAATTATTATTATTTATTTGTTGTTATTTATTTAGTTAAATTGTTTATTTATTAAATGATTATTAAATTATTGACTACCAAATTCAATTTGTTTTTATTTCTTTATTAACCATATAATAAAACGGTTATCGACCTCTGATGAGGTCGATACGTGACCTTGGTCGTTGCCGTTGGCCTCGGTGAACAATCCTTGACCAGGTCCGTATAGTCACGTATCGACCTCATCACAGGTCGATAATTGTTATAGTGTCATGTTAATAGTTAAATAATACACTACGTGCATTAAATGTGCAAAAAACAAACGCACGCCACGCCACGCACGTGTACGTGCACACGCACGCCACAAACTCAATGCACGACGTGTACGTGCACACGCTCGCACGCACGTGTACGTGCCACACGCACGCACGGCACGCGCTCACGTGCACATGCACACGCGCGCACACACGCAGCGCACGTGTACGTGCACATACACGCAGCCGTGTACGTGCACACACCGGACGCCACGCACGCACGCACGCACGCATGCATGCACGCCACGTGTACGTGCACACGCACGCACGCACGCACGCACGTGTACGTGCACATTGCCACGCACGCACGCATGCACAGCACGCACTGCACGCATCGCACGCACGCACGCATGCAGCCGCACGCACGCATGCCACGAACGTGTACGTGCACAACGTGCACGCACGCACGACATGTGTACGTGCATATGCAGGTACGCACGCGCCGCACGTGTACATCCAAACGCACGCACGCACGCGCGCATGCACACACGTGTACCTGCACACGCACGCACGGACGCATGCACGAGGTGTACGTGCACACGCACGCCACGCACGTATATGTGCATACGCACGCTCGCACGCACGTGTACGTGCACACGCACGCACTCACGTGCACGCTGCCAACCGCACGCGCACGCACGCACGCACGCACGTGTACGTGAACACGCACGCACTCACACACGCACGCAGGCACGTGTGAGATGCACACCGCACGCCACGCACGAACGCACGTGTACGTACACACGCACGCACGCACGACACGCACGTGTACGTACACACGCACGCACGCACGCACGCACGTGTACTTGCATACGCACGCACGCACGCACGCGCGCACGTGTACGTGCACACGCACACATGCACGCACGTGTACGCACGCATGCACGCACGCACGCATACGTGCATACGCACACACGCACGCACGCACGCACGTTTACGTGCGCACACGTGTACGTGCACAGGTACTTGTACGTGTCACGCGCGCAGCGCACGCACGTGTACGTGCACACGCACGCACGCCACGTTGTACGTGGCACACAAACGCAAACACCGGCACGCACGCACGGCACGTGTACGTGCACACGCACGTACGTGTACGTGCCCACGCACGCCCACGCACGCACACACGCACGCATGCACGCACGCACGCACGACGCATGTACGCACGCACGCACGCACGCAGTACGCACGTGTACGTGCACTACATAACAGCGCTTTCCATCAGAACATGTGGTCAATCATCTGTAATGTCACAGCAGCACGCTTCGCTTCTGCCAACCATGACACATAACAACATACACGTGACCTGATCTATGACGTCACATGAAACACTCCTATTTGTTGATGCATGCATACAGCTTACACTATATATTTTATAATGGTAGCGCATTTTGCTTGAATCTGATTGGCCCATATGTCATTTGGAGGTCCGTACCTCATAGACCGAGTTGACCGCGCATGTCAAACGAGGTACAGCCTCGCGTGAAGAAAGTGGGTGTGTGAGCGCTGGCCAATCGAGCTACGCCGCTTCTATATCGAAGATTAGCAGCCAATCAGATAGCTATATTATAAATAAATATAAATAATATAAATATTATAAATATAAATATAAATATAATAAAATAAATAATTTAGAGAATAAATATAAAATTATTATTATTTATTTGTTGTTATTTATTTAGTTAAATTGTTTATTTATTAAATGTATTATTAAATTATTGACTACCAAATTCAATTTGTTTTTTATTTCTTTATTAACCATATAATAAAACGGTTATCGACCTCTGATGAGGTCGATACGTGACCTGGTCGTTGGCCGTTGGCCTCGGTGAACCAATCCTTGACCAGGTCCGTATAGTCACGTATCGACCTCATCACAGGTCGATAATTGTATAGTGTCATGTTAATAGTTAAATAATAACACTACGTGCATTAAATGTGCAAAAAAAAATAAAAATTTCTGGCACAAAACCAAGTTATACTTGCCAGTATTGTCACATTTGTGCCAATGATTATTTTACGATATTCTACAGCTCTTGCTGACATGCGTGCATTCTTCCTCTATCTGTCGTGTTAAAAGAAATTCTTTGTAGCTTGCAGAATATTTTATGCACACTATACCGTAGCGCTGCACAAACAGAAGCGGTGACAATGTGTGCTGCAAGGCTATCATAAAATCAATGTAACCAATCAATTAATTACTAAATAATTATGCCATCAATATTATAACACATATGCATAGATAGAGGCGATATAAAATAGCAAACCATAAACTTCTGAGAATGTGCATACCTTTATAGCAAGCCCGTATACCCTTCTCTCTGTACACACTATAGAGACAGTGCCAAGGACCATTGTACATTGGCTTTGTGGCTTTTGCTCGAACAATAGCAGACTTTGCATCTTCTGGAAATCAAAAGTCATACGATTAATAGTATTAATTCAAGTTGATGTAACAGCAGAATAAAGAAAATAAAACTCCCTATCTATTCATTCTGATATGGTATTTTAATGTGTTCGAGCCTAGAATATTAAATTATGCACAAAAGACAGTGATAATTCATGCATTTTTGACTGTTAATTAACAGTTAGTTGGCTAACTCGTTTGAAGATGCTCGACCGAACTTGTCCATATTCACAGTTCATATGCAGTGGTATATGCAATCTTTATAGTAACATCAGTCCCACGTTAAAACCTACTATTTATGCCACCAAAAATTCTCAACAGATTGTTAAAATTCATGATGCCTGGCTAGCATGTACTCTAGGCATTTTAAAGTTGATGCTCACAAGGTCTGCCTCCAGCACCTACTAGGAAAGTAATGAAATTTTGATGAAGAATATTCCTTCATGTGACAGCAATTTTTTAGAAAATCGATCACACAAATATGTACCCATCTGCAATGGAGAAGAACTGTTGTCAACTAGGCTTTTACATGTCTGACAGGTAATTAAAGTTACCTCTCTGAATTTGTAGTTTGATCTTCACTAGGTCAGTTGGACATGTGATAAAGAGTTGGCCAATACCACCAGCACAACCTGCCAGGTATATGTCTGTATATGAGGGGTCCAAAGATTTTTCGCCATACCTGTGGACAAGATAATTATTATGCCATTAGCTTCTAGACAAAGCCCATATGAGAGCACCTGGATAACACATGGCAAAATAAAGTACTTGTGTTGACAAATAATATTCACCACGAGTAAAATCCTATACTTACTTTAAGGTGTTCAGGCGACGAAGTGTGCTGGTGTATATACCAAAGTATACTGAATTCATTGCACCAATAGATAACAAGGGAAAAAGAATTCCTTTAAAAAAGCCAGGTATCTGCAAAAACAAGACTCTACTGTAACATCACACTATACCTGCAACACAACATTACCAACCGAATATAGATAAAGACATATATTCCACACTATTGTGTACAAAGATGTTTTAAGTAATACTTCTTTGTATCACCTTCATTTAACAAGAGCCGCAGAGCGTCTGGGCTCATCTGAGGTCTGTTGCTACGGTTGCTAAAGTCGTGCGTAGTGACACCTTTGTTAGGCGCAGATATGCAGATACGCAGTTGCGTACACATCATTTCAGCAACCTTCTGCATTCTGCATACCTCCCAAATCCCATTGGTTGATACAAATCGCGTGCCTGAAACTCCTGTTTTATGGTGCATTGTGACCCTAACTCTAACCCTATTAAAAAATTAAAAAATTAATTGTTGTTATTAAATTGTTGTAAATAAATCATGTAAATATTTGCGTTAATTGGAAAAAAAATAGTTAAATGGATAAAGATAGAAAAATACAGAAAACAGGTAAATAATAAAAAATCTGATGGGATTCGATCCAAGGACCTTTGAGCCGTGACGCCTGTGCTGTACCCGTTCAGCTATCCAGGCTTATTGGCTTTCTAGATTATGGATGTGCCATGAATATGAGAACACTGTGACATCATTGAGGCAGTTCAGGAATCCATGTTTAACCCTCCTCTTGAGGGTCAAAAGGTTATCAGTAGTGATGTCACGATCATCGATTATACTCGATCATCGGTTGAACAGTGGCTCGAACCAAGCGCCTAGTGATGTCACGATCATCGATTATACTCGATCATCGGTTGAACAGTGGCTCGAACCAAGCGCTTGGTTATCAAAATCCATAATCAATTTCATCAACAACAACAACAACAAAAATTTCGAAAAAGTGATGAGAATCAGAGATATCATCGCTACTATACAAGTTATCCTTTATTAACATACATGTATAATACACACAGTAGTAAACAGTGCAAAACAAACAGTAAACAGGGCTAAACAAGCACATACATGCACACGACGTTACGCACACGCAGGCGTTCAACACCCCAAGTAATCGATTGTAACCGATCATCGGTTACTTGGGTCCAACCGATGATCGATTACGAAATTACAACCGATTGACAACACTAGTTATCAGACACTTACTCTTCGCACGTCAGTGGAAAGCACATTTCATGGTCCTTTCAATAAAGTGATAAAAATGGTAGGTCAGCGCTAAAACAAAAAAGTTTTTCACTCTGTCCATTAGCCCATGTCCTCAGAAAATGTCTGATATCTGACCTTTCCCCCACTGCCCTTTGACGTGTGACCTCCAATTTCACACTGGTGATGGGTTTCCTGCGATGGCTCAATGGTTGAGTGCTCGCCTCGTATGTGGAAGGTCGGGGGTTCAACTCCGGGCCGGGTCATACCAAAGACTTGAAAAATGGTACACACGGCTTCTCTGCTTAGCATTCAGCAAATAGAGATAGAGTGTGGAAAGTTAACTCGCAGCGCGCTACAAGTGGACTAACCCCCTACTGTAGCATTTACTGTGAAAGCAGCTGCGGGGCCTCAGGGTTACTAAAACGGAGATAGGCACCGCCCTATGCGCCATGTAGCTATGTGCTATGCGTATGAAGGTGCGGGAAGGATTTAAAATGAGTTTCCTGCCCATCACACAATACACCGAATATTAAGAGCATAGGTCGAGCCGTTAAGATTAGTGCCGCAATTGCGTATTTCTTCCTATACATTAAGTTAAGGAGGAAATATTCCCCCTCCGTTTACACATCTTGACCTTTGACCATTGACCCCCAAATTTGCCATCCTGAGTCCTTTTCACGATCCTCCCAACGTCCCGAATATCGTGACCGTACGTTGAGCGGTTAAGATTTGTGCCCCAACTGTTGACAGACGGACGCACGCACGCACGCACGATCATGCAATTCTACAAGCTGCATCTGACTACGTCAGATGAGCTAATAAAAGCTGGATATTCATATTACAGTTCTACTACCTACAAACTTACCCCTTCATATTGATATGTAGATTTGACAGAATGCCACAGTTTTGCAGAGTCTCTCAACGTCTGCTGACGAACCTTCAGTAACAAACGCAAATGCAATTACGATGATATTTGCAATAGTTTTCCATACACGTATTAAAACTTTGCAAAACACGAAATATTGGGAAAACAGACAAACAATTTTAACTTGATTGACTGCTGTCCAAAATCTAGGGGTCTGTATGACAATGAAGATACTTTTGGGAGGAACATTTAATGTGCATTTAACTATGCAGATTTTCATCCTTGTTCATTGTTCATACTTTCAATCCCCATTTTGCCTTTTAACTTTATGAACTCATATTGCATGAGTTTAGTTAATCTATATGCTCCTATATTTAGTAACTAACCTTCACTGTGTCAAAGGGATGTCCTACAAAAATGCTGGCTACACCTGAAAATTAAATAAATATGATTAGATCCTTTGTAACTAAAGCATGTATAATGGAAATGAATATTAGAAACAAGTATCAGTGCCTACTTTACACCAATTATATAGAATCTCATTTTTTTCCATTTTGTTAATATTGGCAGTTCAGACTAAATTATCATCGTATATCCTAACCTACAAATACATTTAGGTTCTAAGGCTTACCACCAAACCAACCAGCTATGAAGTTTATGCCTCCTTCCATGTTGTGCCAGAAACAAGAGTATCACAAAGTTGGATGGAGTTCATGGAAGTAGCAAAAATGAAGTAGATCTTTATCTCATTGTATTTCACTGCATACAACACAAAAAAGGATTTTTTTACTGCCATGCACATGAAACAGCAGTGTATAACTAACAAGTGCCGCAGTGCGACAGGGCTCATCTGGTGTCTGGTGTTCTGCTGATAAATTCATTTGTGCACAGCAAGACGTCTTATACATAAGTCTTCTTTATTCTTGTTTGACTTTCGCAGCCAATTGGAACAAATATATCAGCTACACTTTCGCACCCACCTAATCTCTATGCATTGCAAATTTGACACGGTTCCGCACATGAGGCTGAAGAAATTGAAAGCGTATGGAATAAGAGGAACACTCATAAACTGGGTTGAAAGCTCTAGTGGGGCGCCAGATGAGAGTGAGCGTTCGAGGACTGTACCCGGTACTCAAAATGGTGCTCAGTAGATAGCGGGGTTCCGCAAGGATTGGTCGATCCTAGGACCACTACTGTTCCTGGTATATGTAAACGATATCCCGGACATAGCGATTTGTGATATGAAAATGTTTGCGGATGATACAAAAATTTGGAAATCTATATCGACAACAACGGACTGCATGCTACTGCAGCATAACCTAAATATGATGTGTGAATGGTCAAGGAATTGGCTATTAAAGTTTCACGTCGGGAAGTGCAAACGGATGCATTTAGGAGGAAATAACGAACAGTTTGAGTACTCAATGACTGATGAGGCTGGGACAAGAAGAGTGTTAGATGAGATCACTGAAGAAAAAGACCTTGGGATATGGATAAATAGCGACCTGAAACCCACTCTAGTGTACCAGAGCAGCGAACAAAGCGATGGGGGTACTGATATCGATCAAGAAAACATTCAAGTACGTAGATAAAAGATATTTCCTTATCCTGTACAAGACGTTCATCAGACCCCACCTAGAGTACTGTCACCCTACTATAAGAAAGATATGGACCTGTTAGAAAAAGTGCAAAGGAGGGCAACCAAGCTAGTCCACTCTATACGTAACCTGGAATATGAGAGGAGACTGAAAATCCTAGGTCTATATTCACTGGAACAGAGGATCGAGAGTGAGGGGAGACCTGATCGAAACTTACAAAATGTTAACAGACAAAGAAAACATCAATAGCAACGAATTTTTATAATGTATGAAAGCACACCGGCAACCGGAACCACCAGGGGTAATTCCCTGAAATTATTCAAAAATAGATCCAGGCTGAAATTGTGACAGCACTTCTTCAGCCAAATAGTGGTGAATGCATGGAACGCACTGCCAACATTTGTTGTAGAGGCCAAAACGGTCAACTTACTGCTTTAAAAACAAACTAGACGGACTTGCGGCCCCGGTTTTTGCGCGCAGCGCACAGCTCGCGGCAAAGCCGCGCCCCAACAGCGAATACGCCGCCCCCTTTTTGTCCATTTAGACAGATATCTGAGACAGGGGTCTGAAAACGCACTCCGCGAAAACTGCGCGCAATCCAACCGACATTTCATGATGGACGGCTTGAGGCCATCTCCAAACGGTCCCTAAACTTTTTTTGGAGTGGCGCGCCTCATGGCTAAGACGTAGTGGCTCCTACAAGAAAATTCCAGAAATGCTGTCAATCAGCGATGACGCGCTCGCTCGTTGGCCGCTACGCGATGACGGGCACTACTGCCGAGTATAGAGTTATGTCTATCAGTCAGCAGAGCCTTTTTACGAAGTGTGGTACGGCGGCTCCACGTGGGGTGGCGGCGGCTAGGATGCTATCTTCATAGACGCGCTCTCTCGAGCCGTGCCGGCGGCCTGACTGCGTACAGCGAGGGTTTTACCAACCTCTTGACCCCGGCGCTGCCCCGTGGCGACGGCAACGCGTGGCGATGCACCTGCGCTGGGCGTGGCGTGGGAATACTGCAGACGGGGTAGCGTGGCCGGTGCCAGTTTTTACACACGTAGCTAAGTAGATACTCGCAAAAGCAGCAACAGCAACAAAAACTAACCAGCCTCTGCACGCCAGCGCGGCTTGCAACAGCACAGCAGCAAATGCCCCACGAAAGCCGCCATAGCCGAGCGCGGTGTTGACGAAAACTCGCATGTTACGCCTTCCCGCTATAATCGGATTCGCCGCAGTTCCGCCTCCTCGGCGCGCGAGATCCGTAGAGCGGCCAAAAGCGCGAGATGCTGCGACAACCCGAGGTCGGCGGAGACACACCGCATCGCGTGCGCCCAGTCCCCCGGAAGTGCGCGGCTTAACCGCTCTCGCGGTCGGGGAATCAAACGCATCTTTTGCGCAATGCCATCTTGATACTCCCGGTCTCTCTGATTTACATTGGACAGATATGGGTATTATAATAGGCCAGGCCTAAACTCAACCCATCTAACCTTAACCTTAACCTAACCTAATACGGTAGTAGTAGCCTAGTGTAGGTGTTGTACAATAACAGTAGAAGACGTCCATAGGCATAGGCAGCAGGCCTGAATAAGCATCAAACAAAAATTAATTAAAACCACTCGGGTCTGAGAGTTTCGTCGCTTACACAACATCATATAATAACACAATAACGTGAATACGAACGTGGGCCCACTTTATTCATGCTAAATAACCACAGGTTTTGCCAGCTAAATAATGCGCATTTCTAGAAAGTGACGTGCACGCTCCTTCGGAAGTTCTATGACCTGGCTGTAACTCAGTCACTGTAATCGCCAGACTTTACTTCCAGACACAGTTTCATTCACACAGTTCAACCCCTGGATGGCAACCCAAATGAAAGTGTCAATGACACTGTAGCTCACCTTGGGTGTGATAGAAGAGGGAGGGGGGATATAT